GAGGAGGAGGAAAAGGAGGAGCAATGCGAGCAATGCAGAGCGCGGCCAGGTGCATCACGAAGCCGTCTCGGGAGAAGGATGGCGACCCAGCCAGGCTGGGGTCGCCTCAGGCGGTGCGGTCAAAGGCCAGCACCGTGCACAGAAATTCACGCGGCCTCCTCGGGCAGAGAGTCCGAGCCAGGGGCACCTTCGAGCCCCTCCGCCCCACGCAGGCCAACGGCCTCGGCCCCAGAGCTCTCGACCCACACCCTCGGAGGCACCTGCTGGGAGTCTTCCGACGCCATCGGAAAATCCGCAGGCGCGTCGGCCAGCAACAACGGGCCACGGGCCTCACCCGTCTTGGGATGACGGCTCCTCTGAGCATACAACAGGAGCCTCTGCAGGCGATCCCGCTCCGCCCGACTCCCAGTCGTCCCAGTCCCGCCCCCCGTACAGGCACGAACCAGGCCGACCGAGAGGCGGTGAGGGCGCACCGCGTGCGCACCGCAGCGCGTGCAGATTCGCACACGCTCCAACTCCTGCACCTGATGGCCAGGCCCTGGAGTTTGGGGATCGCAGAGGCGGGCGGACAGAGATTTGAGGGAGGAAGGGGTGGTGCACAGTCTGTCTCCAACAGATTTTGCAGCCGAGGGCTCCCTCAGGGAAACCGACGAACACATGTGTGGTGGGCTTCCTCTCACGCCGAGCTCTTGGGGCGGGCGCCAGGGGCTTCCTAACTACGGGTGTGGCCATCTTTGCCACCCTCTCTGTAGCGAAAGCAAGGCATCTCATACGGCTCTGCGCTTGCTCGAGCTGAAACTTGAAAGCCCGAACGAATGCGGAGGCGGAGGCGGAGGAGGAGGAGGAGGAGGAGGAGGAGGAGGAGGACGAGGAGGAAGGAGGGGGAGGAACAGTAGGAGTGTGAAGAGGAGGCGGGGGAGGAGGAGGAGGCGGAGGTAAGAGGAGGGAGCAGGAGGAAAAGGAGGACGGGAGGAGGGATGGAGAGGAAGGATAAGGAGGAGGAGGAGGAGGAGAGAGAGAGGAGGAGGAGGAGGAGGGAGGAGGATGGGGGTGAGGAGGGGAGGAGGGGGAGGCAGGAGGAGGATGGAGGAGGAGGAGGAGGAGGAGGAGGGCGGCCCTCCCGAGACAGGGGCGAGACAGCGGTCTTCTTCATCGTTACCCTGCCTCCAGGAAGCCCGTTCGGGCGCTTCCGAACCTTCCTGGTGACCCCCGCCTTTTTGGAGGTCCGCCCCTTGGAAGCCTCCTTCCCCTCCAAATAATCCCCCTGTCAAGAAACCCTCTCCTGAGAAACCCTCCCAAAACGCCCCGCTCCCCAGGGGGGCCTCCTAAGAACCCCTGTCCTGAGAACCACGATCGGAGTCAATACAAGGGCGGAAGACGGTCTTTTTGCATTCAGTTTTAATTGTAAATGCGAAGCCCTTCCGCGTTTCACAACCAGACGTGTTGGAACTGCGGGCCGAGCGTTTCGACTGAGACTTCTTCGCTTTTGTTGATCCTGAAGCTTGAGACTGTGGATGGAGGGCGGCTGCTTTCCATCTCGTCGCAGAGGGCACGCCCTAAACGCTTCCAGCAGTGTCGTGGGTGGAAGGCGGCTTCCGTCAGAGCATTCGGCACTTACCCGATATTTAGTTGGGCTTGCTGGTCAGAAGTTGGAACCAGTGCAACAATTACATGGAGGGGATGCGGTTCTTTCAAAGGCTGCTTGGCTTTTTAGGATCCCGTGGATGGAGGATTGGTTCCTGGTCGAACTTTGCCCTTGCTGGAAGGCCCCCTGGAGTATTCTCAGCCTCTCAGCATTCCTTACAGCTAGAAGGACAGAGGAGATGAATCCTTTTCACAAGACGCACCTCTCACCCGACTGGCAGCCCCATGACGCCCTCGTGTTTTCATGCGGGTGCTTCCCGCAGAGGAGGAGTACTTGTAGGGACTTCATTGGGACTTGAGGGACTCCATGTTCTAATCCGGAGTACCTGTGGGGACTTCATGGGGAGGAGTACTTGTGGGGACTTCATGGGGACTCGAGGGACTTCAGGGAGGAAGGAGTACTTGTAGGGACTTTATGTTTTAATGCGGAGTACTTGTAGGGGCTTCCTGGGGACGGGGCTGCGACGGGAGGGTGCCTTGCAGCATCGCTCTGGTGCATCCTGGATCTGCTCGGGTCCTTCCCCTGCTCCCGCTCCTCACCCTCCGCCACCTCGCCCTCTTCTCCTCGTCCTTCTCCCGCCATCTCCCACCTCCTGAGCCTCCTCCTTTCCTCCTCCTCCTCACCCTCCTCCCCCTCCTCCTCCTCCCCCTCCTCCTCCTCCTCCTCCTCCTCCTCCTCCTCCTCCTCGTCCTCCTCACCCTCCTCCTCCTGCACCTCCTCCTCCTCCTCATCCTCCTCCCAACCCTTCCCCCTCTCCTCTGGCCCGTGGATGCTGCGCTGCGAGGGGCGGAGTCGTGTTCTCAGGCCTCGCCGCGGAACGTAAGCCGGCTGCTCAGATGACAAGACACGGAGGGTTGATCCGGCCGCTCTCGAGCGCGGTGCTTGGCCAGGCCACTCCTTGGAAGCCCGCGGGCGCCCAGCGGTCCAAGACAGCCGGACGCGGGTCGTGGCCGGCGGTGGAGCGAATGGAGGCACGAGGGCGGAGGAGAACAGAGCGCGGGGGGGAGGAGGCAGGAGCCCGCACTGGATTCAAGGGGGCCCAGGGACACGCAAATAAATACACAAACAGCAGGATCCCCCATATGTTCCCATATTTTCTGGGTTTCTGTCTTCCCCCCCCCACTTCCCATATTTTCCCACATCTTCTGGGGAATCGAGGATTCGTTGTGTCTGTGTGTTTCTTTGCCTCCTGATAGATGGCAAAACACGAGGGGTGTCATGGCGCCGACATCGCAGAGCGGATTTCTGTTTGGAAGCCGATGGGCTGGGCCTGGACGGTCCCGGAGAAGTTCGTTCCGGATGCCGGCGTGCATTTGGCGCGGAGTTTGCTTGGCCAGGAGCGAAGGCTACAAGACATCCACGTGAAACTCGCTTCGTGTTTCTCGCTCGCCTTGTTCTCGGGGCTTCGCGCTGGCAGAAACCCACGCGGAACTCCGCAGCAGCACGTCTGCACAGTCGGTGCGGTGATCACCACCCACCAAACCACCCCAACCCAACCCGAAGGCTCAGATCTACCTTCGATTTCCAGTGGGGGGGGGGGTCGGGAAACATCGAGAGAACACATGTGGAACCCTTACCCCCCCCAACCCGAAATTCGGGTCTTCGGGTTGGGTTGGGGTGGTCTGGTAGGTAGTCAGTTGCAGTGAGGGGTGGATCTGGCCGCGCTCGAGCGCGGTGCTCGGCCAGGCAGCTCGCGCGACGCCGCCGCCCGTCCAGCGGGACGCACGGAGCGCCGCGCTGGGAAGCAGTCGGCTGGTCACCGGTCGGCGGCCGCGGCACGGAGCAGAGCACCGTCCTGCCAGCCGTCCGTCCGTCCCTCCTCCTCCTCCTCCTCCTCCTCCTCCTCCTCCTCCTCCCTCCTCCTCCTCCTCCCTACTCCTCCTCCTCCCTCGTCCACCTCCTCCTCCTCCTCCTCCGCCTCTCCTCCTCCTCCTCCTCCGCCTCCGCCTCCTCCTCCTCCTCCTCCTCCTCCTCCTCCTCCTCCTCCTCTCCTCCTCCACCTGCGCACCTGCAGTCGTGCGAAAGACCTTCTGCCCCCTCTCCGCGTGCTGTTCTTGTACACACACAAGCTTTCAATTTTTTATTATGATGGTCTTTCAACAATCCGACTATTTTCGGTGTTTCGAAATGTTACTCCCGCTTCAGCGTGGGCTCATTTTCGGATCGGCGCTTTGCTCCCGTCGTTCCAGACGGTGCTCTCGCCCCAGCGCGGGCCACTTTTCGGGGCCCGACTCTAGCTTCATGGTGACCACCCTCATTTCCTCCGCCTTCCCTGGGTCCTCTTGTTCCGTCCGCTCCTTCCATTGCAGTTTCTGATGCTGCTGCTGTTCGTCTCGCCTCAGCGATGGCCACTTTAATTTCCCCTTCTCCGCCTTCCCCAGGCCCTCTTTTTCTTCTCTATCATTCCGCTTTAGTTCCTGCTGCTGCTTCTGTTCGTCCTTATTATTTTCCTCCCACTCATCCTCCTGCCCCCCCGCCACCTCCTCCTGTGCACGCAGCTCCCCTTCTTTCCGATTGCGCATATCATGACGTTGCCTTTCTGTGGGAGTCGCAGGTCGGTTATGACACGCGTCCGCTAATAATGAAACATCAGCGCCATGGGATGGGATGGAAGGGAGGGATAAGATGTCAGATCAGGCACGAGCGCACCAAGCTTGTCTTCCTCCCTCCTCCGCCTCCTCCTCCTCCTCTTTCTCCTCTTCCTCCTCCTCCAGGGGACGTCTCGTCCTCCTCCTCTGCAGGCCAGTAACGGCCCGTCTCCTTTGAGGGACGCCTCCGCGCGCTCCTGCTCCTGCTGCTCCTCCTGCTGCTCCTCCTCCTCTTCCTCCCATTAGCAGCAGGGCATTGGCGCGACAAAGAAGGACTGGCTCACATTCGCAGCTGATGGGGTTGCATGGTGCAAGTTGAAAACAGCATGCATCGTATCATCATCCTTTTGTCGTTTTGTCTTATGCTGCTGGTCCATTTGGCTGCTCTGCATGCGCTGGGAACGCTGCCTGGGAAGCTGCTTCGCCATGTTCTACCTCTGAACGTTGCGGCGTTTTTCACCCCTCCGCCACGGAGCGCGCCTCAGCGCGATGCGGGTGTCCTGTCCTGTCCTGTCCTCCGCGCCGGGGCCTAGGTGGGAACGACCTTTGGACCCTTGCCCCAAATGTGGGCCCCGCCCAAGCGTCAGTTCGCATATTCCCGCCGTGCCGGCGGCCTGCTTCTCCTCCTCCTCCTCTTGCTTCTCCTCCTCCTCCTGCTCCTCCTCCTCCTCCTCCCCCTCCTCCTCCTCCTCCTCCTCCTCCTCCTCCTCTTGCGCCTCCTCCTCCTCCTCCTCCTCCTCTTCCCCCCCTCCCCGACCCACCACCAGGACAACGCCGAGGAGGACCTGCAGGCCGCGGACGACAAGCTGCAGTCCAACAACAACATCCTGCAGACCTCCATCACGGAGCTGCTCGAGCTCAAGGCAGTGGCGGCCTCGCCCCGCTGCCGGCGGCCTCGTGCCGCCGCCGCCGCCTTCCATGTGCTGTGCCCTCGTCTCCTCCCCTCGCCTTCTGGCCCTCCGGTTCCCCTGCGGTCTCAGCGCAGGTTCGTACATCAGGTCAGTCGTCTTGCGTGCCAACGCCACGAGGTCCCTCGGGCCGCTGCTTCCTCCTCCTCGTCCTCCTCCTTCTCCCTCCTCCTCCCCCCCCCTCCGCCGCCTCCTCGTCGTCGTCGTCTCCTCCTCCTCCTCCTCCTCCTCCTCCTTCTCCTCCTCCTCCTCCCCCTCCTCCTCCTCCTCCTCCTCCTCCTCCTCCTCCTCCTCCTCCTCTCATCTCTCTCTCCTCTCTCTTCTTCCTCCTCCTCCTCGTCCCTGCTCCACCTCCTCCCATCTCTTCATCCCTCCGCCTCATCCTCCTCCTCCTCCTCCTCCTCCTCATCCTCCGTACCCCTCTCTTCCTTATGAGCACTTCTTCCCTGTCGCACCCCGAGGCCAGTCAGAAGGGCGGGCCGGGTGTTTGGCCTGAGACTTTCTCACCATTTATGATCATGAAGCCTAATTTTGGTAGCAGACGGAAGGGGGGTGGACCGCTTTCTTAATGTAGCTCTCGTTTCGGTGCCGCGCATACCTGTGTGAAATTGCAAGAGTTCCACGAATTCAGGGCGGGTGGTTTTCAACATGTGATTCTCGCTTTTAGCGCCCTGCATGCCCATCCGAGTTGAAACATTGCAATCGTTTCATTGATTGAGGGCAGACCGTTTTCAACATGTGATTCTCGTCTTAGCGCCGCGCACATTCGTTCTGAAATTCTGAAAGAGTTTACCTGGTTGAGGTTTGGTGATTGCCAACATGCGGCTCTCGCATTAGCGCCGCGCACATTCCTTTTCAACGCTTGCAAGAGTTTCACTGCTGGAGGGCGGCTCTTTTTTCAAAATGTGGCTCACGCCTTAGCGCTGCGCACATTCTTTTTCAAGGGTTCGCAGCAGTTTCAAGGATTCGCATTGATAGCATCACAGAAATTGTATTTTGGCACGATCTCGGAGTGTCAGGGCACAACTGTTACGTTGATTCGTGGTGTTGCAGTCCCAGGAATGGTGTTCTTGCGCGATTCAGGATCGTCAAAGCAACAGTGGCGGTGATACGCTGCGTTGAATCCCAGGGATGGTATTCTGGCACAGCTCAGGGTTTTCAAACGGTTGTGTTCCAAGGGGGCACTTCCTTCAGTGAAAATGAGTCCATGCAGAGGCCTATGAAGTGTGAGCTTGGAGGGAGGGTTTATTGCAGTATCTGTGATGAGTCTTGGGTTTGCACTGGTCCTCTCCTCCTTCTCCTCCTCCTCCTCCTCCTCCTCCTCCTCCTCCCCTTCAGCCATTCCTCTTGGCCAACTTGGGAGTGGCACTGCCATCGAGAGCCCATTAGGTCGGCGGCGGCCCCGCTCGGCCACAGCGCTGAGACCAGGCCAGCTACAAGGTTCGCAGCCGTTTGCTGGCCACTTCATCTTTCTTCGCTCTCGCGCGCCCTCCCGTTCCCGCACCCTTGCCCCGCTATCTCGCGAGCTCCGAGTGCATTCTCCAGTTCTAACTCTTGTCTTCAGGAGTTGGCATCCCGCGCACGCTCCGCGGCAGCCTTAAACAGCTCCGGGAGTCCGGGAGTATCGGCATCCTGGTCTTTGGCGACCCGGGTCACGGCGACGAGTACGACGAGGATGACCTCCATGGCAACCTCACCGCAGGTTTGAGAGTGGTGGTTTCAAGTAACTTGCCCTGCCGAGTCTGGAGCGGCAAAGAAAGTCCTGACCATCCACCAGCTTTTCACCGACCTCACCTCATTAGAGCACGGCGCTGACATCATGGATATTTGCGGTGGGGAGGCGCGAACCAGCAGACTGGCTGCCCGCCGACACCTCAAACCAGGCACCAACTTCGACCTGGTCGCGGGCTGCGACCTCAACGACGAGAGCCAGACGGCAAGTCCGTCTTCTCGGCCCTGGCCGTGGATTCTGTCCGACCCCTATGGGAAAATAACATGGCCGGACGTCATTGGTGGCTGTCAGATCAGCGTCACACCAAACATATCGACGCCGTACTGGTGCGACACCAGAGAAATAAAAACAGACCCCATGACGAAGGAGGCATCGGCAGAGATCTCATCTTGAGCATGATTGACGGCGAGCTCAGCTACGACCACCACACGATCAAGCTGAGCGAGGAGAAGCACAAGAAAACCGCGCCAGTCTCGCAACACAGTAATCTCACCGTCAAGGAGATTGGCGACTCGAATGGTTGAATTATCATGTGTCGCATCTCCCGGGCTAAGTTAGCGAATGCGAAGTCCTACAGGCATACGCCCAACCTTCTGAGCAACCACGACAGGCATGACGAAAGGGGTAACGTATGCAAGTGAGAGGCTGGCTGCTCCCGCGCGGAGTGGCAGACGTGGCGACAGTTGAGCGTGCCGAGTGAGTGCTGCTTCCGTTCGCCCTGTGGATGGAGCGGCCGTCTAATTATCTGATGCCCGCTATTTTGATTTTGTGTCTGTCCGCGCTGGAACTGCTCAGTTTAAACAGTCTGTTGGGTTTCGGGTTTTTGTGGGTGAAGCTGGGGAATCCACCGCGGCGTGACGGGCCCGTTGGAGCACCGGACTCGAGCGGTAGGTCTTCATGGTATACAGAGTGCGGAAGGAATTTTCCACTTGTGGCTGTTTGGCGCAAGGTGGCCATGTGCCGCGCCCCTTCTAGTGCGCGCGCGACGCGCTTTACACTGCGTGCGGGAAAACATTTTTCTTCATCGCTTTACGTTCTCAGTAAACTGTGGGCGCAAGAGTTAGCTCCCGTCCTCCAGGCATGAAGGAAACATCGTGGCGACACTCGTGTCATGCGGGCCCCGGCAGCTGGATATGCGATGCTTGTCAAGCACACTTCGCCGCCAGACCCCGTGGTAGAAATACGCGGAGCTCGGGCAGTTGCACCTTTTGGGGGCGTGCTTCGCATATGGCGATCAAGTAAAAGATGCCGAACATGATGGTGAATACCTATGCGACACCTTTCCAGTGAGAAAGAGCTTCGGTTGGAAAGGGGAGGAACCGACGTCTCAGTCACCTCATCTCTCTATCAAAATCACTCTCGATCTCAGTATCGACCTCGCTATCGGTCGCAGTGTCGATAGCACCATCGATCGCAGTATCGATACCACCATCGATCGCATTATCGTTCTCGCAATCGATCCCACTATCGGTCCCGTTGTCGAATTTACGATCGGTTTCATTGACGACCTTACTATCGGTCTTCTTATCGATTTCGCTATCGATCCCACTATCGATCTCACTGTTGGCTTCGTTCGACCGACCGCACTATCGATACCACTATCTATGTCACGGTCGATCTCACGATCGACATTGCAATCGACCACAGTATCTTTCGCACAACCGATTTCACGATCGATTGCGCTATCGGTCCGTTCGACCCCACCATCGAAATCAATATGCATCCCACCATCCATGTCGCCATCAACGTCAGTATCGGTATTCGTCACCAGTATCGATATCAATGTCGATTTTCAGTATAGCGGGACACCGCTGGGGCATTGACGGGACACCGCGGGACACCACGGGACACCACAGGACACCACGGGACACTATCGGAACCCTATGGCGGGGCCACCGTCGCCCTTCGGGGCGGGGTGGTGGCGGCCTGTGGGCCAGCTCTGGCCAGAGGAGGGTTCATCCCTCTTGATGCAGCTTCGCCTCGGTCGCACGCGCGACACGAACACGAAACCGAAACCCATTTCTCGTTCTGGGTCTCCCGTACTCACTGCGATCTCCCCCCCCGGCCTCCAATTGTGGAAGGGATGCTAACGATGAGATTAATGATGATGGATGTGCTGTGACTTTACTGTGATACAACAAACAATCGGCGTGTTTAGTTTCGTATTAGCTGCATGCAAAGTATCTGTCTCAACGTATACCTATACAACCACCCTTCGGGTGATCAGGAGATTTTGGAGGTGGGAACCAACGTTTCGGTTAATGGATTTCACGACCGGTATCAGCACTATCGGTGCCGTTATCGCTCTCTCTATCATATCACTATCGGTCTCACTTGTTCTATTTCACCATCGATCTAAATCAATCGATCTCGTTCTACCGGTCCCACTCGGTCGATATCATTGCTGTTTAGCGACATTTGCATATAGACCTCACTATCGATCTCACAGTCGATGTCAAATCGATATTACGATCGGTCTCTTTCCATCTCACTCGTCTCACTCGATTTCATTATCGATTTCATTACCTTGTCAGGACACGATCGGGCCATAATCACAATGGGAAACACACCATCGAGGGCACCATCGAAAATCTACAAGGACACCAAAGGGGCACCAATCGGGACACCAACGTGACACCGACAGGACACCAACGGGACGCCAACGTGATACCGATAGGACACCCACGGCGGAAATCGACCGGACAGGACACTCACGAGACACCGACGGTACACCGATGGCACACCGACGGAACACCGCGGACACCGACGGGAAACCGACGGGACACCAAACCCCTGGCCACGCTGACTCACCAGGAGGGGCGGTCTTTTGTCTTGCTCCGCCCTATCCCCTGCGGGGTCATTCCTCTTCGCCCGCCCACGCAGCTTCGCCTCGCCCGCACGCGCGATACGAACCCGAAATCGAAACCGATTTCCCGGTGGAAGGTCTCTCCGTTCTACTTCTATATCACCCCACAGTTTTCCACATTGCCTAAAATAGTTCCACTTCCAGCAGTGAGGCATTCGCAAAACTGATCTTCTACGTGCTTATCCCTTTCTTCTTGGATCATGCCAATGACGTGGTGATGCCAATCATGCAACATGTGAGGGAAGTCCTCCACTTCATCACACATCTTGCCGTACGCGTCGAGCGAATAGTGGAATACCCTCGCTGGGAGCGACAGCAAGTGCACAGCAACTCGAATATGTGGTGCCGCTTAGAGAGTTGTTGAGATCAAAGGCATCCCCTGGTGCTTGCGCACCTGGACTTTGAGCTGCAGCATGGCTGTGGGATTTCGAGGATGTCGTGGACAGCGCCTCGGGGGCTCCACCTTCCCTTGCGGCGTCTGCAACTGATGCAGAAGCGCATTGTGTGTTGTTAGCGACCGTAGTTGCGTAATCTTTTCTAAGAGACGCGTGTTGTGCAGGTTTCCGAGGATGTCAAAGACAGCTCCTCTGGGCCTCCACCTTCCCTTGAAACCTCCTCCTGTGTTCTAGGAGAAACGGCCTGTGTAATAGTGTCCGTCGGCTTTGAAATCGGAATGTCCCAGCGGTCCTTATTGTAACTAACTGTTTCAGTGGATGTGCAAGGCAGATGTCCAAAGCCAAAGTGTTCGGTATTGATTGTCGAGCGAATCGCAACTGAATTGATTCTTGGCGTGATGTTGAACGTGTGTAAGGTAACCACTTGCCTATCTTCTGTCTGAAGTCCTTGTGTATACTGAAGCGGTCGCGGACACTGCCTGAGTAAGGACGCCGAACTTATTCGAATTGTTTGATTGATTGTGTGCATCCTGTAGATGGTTGTGCCGAACATTGCTGTGCCGCTTGCTGGTGATATGTTTGTCCACATCTGCGCACATATTATTGGATAGTTGGGTTTGCATCTCGCGAGCGTAGTATGTGAGCTCAACGGTCTCGGATTCGATGCCTTTTGGATCGACTAGTGTTGACATCGTTGCCATGATGCATGTCGTCGCAAGGTCGCCAAAACATATCGTTGATGAGAACATGACGGCTCATGGCCAGAATGCAGTAATGGGATGGCGCGGCTGCTCGCGGAAGGCAGACGGGCTTGAGCGAACATTCTACGGATTCTTTTGTTCCTCCCCCCCTCCTCCTTTCTCTGCCTCCTCCCCCTCCTGCAACTCCTCTCTCCTCTTCCTCCTCCTTCTTCTCCGCCTCCTCCTCCTCCTCCTCCCCCTCTCCTCCTCCTCCTCCTCCTCCTCCTCCTCCTCCTCCTCCTCCTCCTAATCTTCCTGTCTCCGCCTCCTCCTCCTCCTCTTCCTCCTCCTCCTCCTCCTACTCCGCCTCCCTCGCTCCCAAGATCTCGCAGGGCCTTCCATGGTCCCCTGCTGCCTCCTCTGCCCGCCCCCGTGCTGGTGCGCGCGGGTCGCTGCTCTCGAGCGCTACGGAGCCGAGGGCAGTCGATGGCGCCACGGGGTGTGCCCACCAACGAAGCTGACGGTGTGCGTTCTCGTGCTACCCCCTTACCCTCTTGTGAGGATGCTGCTGCTGCTGATGATGATGCTGATGTTGATGGTGATGATGATAGCCATGATGGTGATGGTTGTGGTGGTGGTGATGATGATGATGATGATGATGATGATGAGGGTGATGGTGATGGTGATGGTGATGATGATGGCCATGATGATGCTGATGACGATGATGATGCTGCTGATGATGATGCTGATGGTGATGATGCTGATGCTGACGATGCTGATTCTGATGCTCATGAGGATGAAGAGTATGAGGACTATGATGACGATTATGCTGATGCTGCTGATGATGATGTTGAAGATACTGATGACACTGAGGCTGTTGATGATTATGATGCTGATTCTGATGATGATGCTGATGATGACCATCATGCTGATGCTGATAATGATGATGCTGCTGCTGATGATGATGATACTGCCGATGATGACGATGGTGATGATGCTGCTGATGATGATGCTGAGGTTGATCATGCTGATGTTGACAATGACGAATGTGATGCTGAGTATGCTGCTGATGACGATAATGATTATACTGATTATGCTGCTGCTGCTGCTGCTGCTGCTGATGATGATGATGATGATGATGATGATGATGATGATGATGAGGAGGAGGAGGAGGAGGAGGAGGATGTGGAGGAGCAGGATGTGGAGGAGGAGGAGGAGGAGGAGGAGGAGAGACGTAGGAGGACATGGGCGAGGGGGCAGAGAAAGAGAGGCGGAGAGAGCAGGGGCAGGAGGACGAGGGGCAGCCGCGAGGTGTGGTCTCGTGGGCCCCCTTTTTTTCTCTCCCTCTCTCTCTCTCTCTCTTCTTCCTTTCTCTCTCTCTCTCTCGCTCTCTCTCTCTCGCTCTACGTCTCGAGGAAGCGCAAACATGGATCGAGGCGAGTGGATCAGCAGCAGGTCCCGTATGCACGAGATCGGCGCGCTCCGTTGCCAGAGGCACTGCCGCCACGCTTCGGGGGGGCCCTTCCCCGATCCGTGGATCTGGCGCCCGCGCGCCCGATCCATAGACCCCTCGTCCATCTCTTGGCATCGCTCGGACGTGTGCATTTTTCGTTCGGCGAGGACCATCGAGGAGCATCCTTGATCATTTGGCGAAGAAACCACGCACGAAACCAAAAAAAACACAGAAAATGGACGTCCGAGCGATGGCCAGATCTTAGCGTCCCCACTGGGCTATGACACCTCAGCCCCAGCATCCCCACCCCAGATGGGGCCGTGCCCCTCGAAGCCCGAAGGAAGCAGCCATACAGTGGGGGCCCATGTCAAGAGGCACCAGCCTCCAGGGTGCCCTGGGCGGACTTGGCTTTGACAGTTTCGCTATGGAAGGCGTGACGCTCCCACACCAGACGTCGATGGACGTCCTGGGGTCTCAGGGTTGGGCTCCTTGTGTGCAGGTTTCTTGCGCTCGGGCCCCTACAATCTCCCCCCATCTCGGGCTGGAAGTCGGCCAGCGGGGCCAGTCGGCTCAACGCTGCCCCTCGACCTCGACGTCTCGCCGAGCCGACGCCGAGCTGGCTGGCGAGGGCCCGCCGCGGGAGCCCCTGCGGCAGCGGGCGGAGGGCACGCCCGGAGGCGGGGGGCGCGGAGCGCCGCGCCCCCCGCGCGGCGCCAGGCCGCGTGCATCGACACGGGCATGAGCTACCGCGACCGCGTGGCCAACCGCGAGGAGCCCTGGCCTCGCCGGGGGGGCCGAGGCGGAGGCCGGCGGCAGGCGCGGGCGGCGCACCCCGCGCATGGCCGCGTCGTGGAGAGCACATCGGGACGGGCAGTCTGTGGCCGATTTCGGCCTCGGGGGGGCCTCGCCGGGCCTCGGGGCCGTCAAGACACGACGCAGGGTGAAAACCCGGTCCTGGGGAAAGGGTCGGGACTTCCAGGGGCCCCGTAGTGAACAAACTCGGGACGTCGCATGTCTGAGAACGCACAGCGGGAACCCATGCCACGGAACATCCTGCTTGTCTCCAGGGTGCCCTGGGTTCCTTGGGTTCCGATGGCTTTGCGACACAGAGAGCGCGGCGTTCCCACACCATCAATTTTCAGAGCGTGAATTACCTACCCCGCTTTCGCTTCCAGGTAAAACCAAGTCATACCACGCCTCCCCGTCAAGCGGCCTGACCAGTACAGGCCGTCGCTTGGCATCGCTTGGTATATCTCTTGGAAGCGAGGGTGGTCAAACGCGAGGCAGGTTTGTCTGCCCCCTGGATTTTATAGACGTCCTGGGGTCTCAGGGTCGGGTTTCTTGGGGAAGGTTTCTTGTGGTCGAGCTCCAAGCTGCGGTAGCCAGATCGCGGCCCGGAAATCCCAGGGCGCGCATATCCCCGCGGAGATGCGCCCGCACGGGCACGTGCCGCGCGCGGCGTGGCCGCGAAGAAGACGCCCTGCACCTCTGTCTTGGCATCGCTCGGACGTGTGCATTTTTCCTTCGGCGAGGACCATCGAGGAGCATCCTGGATCATTTGGCGAAAAAACCACGCACGAAACCGAAAAAAGCACAGGGAATGGACGTCCGAGCGATGGCGAGCTGTGTGGGGTCGGGTCCCGGGGCGGGCCGGCTAGGGGAGGGGTGACATCATGGCGTGGGCCACGAGATCTCCCCAGATTTCAGAGCGCCCCGCGTCCCCAGCCCCCCCCTGGGCCGCGCACATGCCGCCGGCCGCGATTGGCGCCCCCCCCTCTTGGACGCCCCCCTCTTGGCCGCCCCCGAACAGATATTTCTTTTTTGCCCACGGAGCACCTCGTGGCAAGTCGCCTTTCTGCCCTCGAGCTTCCGTCTTCAGAGTGCCTTCGCGTGCGCTGGCGTCAGGCAGCGCCGAGGAACAAGCGTCGATGCAGCGTCGGTCTCGCGTCGATGCAGCGTCGCTGAGCCGCAGCCATCAAGCTGACATGGGAGGCTCCCATGCGTTGCCACTGAAGGCGAGAGCGCGGGGTGTCGGCGGGTCGGTCGGCTCGGCTGCGTCGCGGTCAGCCGCGTCGGCCGGCCGTCGTGCCGCTGCCGCGCCGCCGCGCCCCTCGGGGCCGGCCGCGGCCCGCAGCTGTGTCGGTTGGCTGTGGTCTCTCTCTGTCGGTGGCCCGCCGTGAGAGGCCTCGCCCTTTGGCCGATCGGGTGGCCGAGGGGCTCGTCGATCGAGGGTCGAAGATCGAGGAGGACTTGGGGCGTTCCTGCCGCTTCTTGGGTTCTGGGCTCCCCCCCCGTCCGTCCTGCCCCTCCGCTCCTCCTCCGTCCTGGTTTCTCCTCCTCGTCGTCCTCCTCCTCCTCCGTCCAGGTCCCTCCTCCTTCTCCGCGTCGTCCTCCCCCTCCCCTCCTCCCCTCCTCCCCCTCCTCCGCGTCTCTCCGCGTCGTCGTCGGCGTCGTCGTCGTCCTCCTCCTCCTGCTCCTCCTCCTCCTCCTCCTCCTCCTCCTCCTCATCCTCCCCTTCTCCCCCTCCTCCCCCCTCCCGCCGCCTCCTCGTCGCCACGACGGCTAGATTCCCCCAGGAATCCTGGCCAAGACGCACACCTCGACAGACTGGCCTGGCGTTTGCGAATGGCGGGGAATCGCGCTGTCATCGGCCCGAGCTTCCGTCGCCTGTGTTTTGAATCAACGTAGCATCGCATAGCATAGCATAGCATTGCGTAGCATAGTTACGGAGGGATGCGAGGTTTCCCATGTCGTTGCGTATATCATAGTCATGCATCATGCCCCGCTGATCTCTGAGAGTTCATGAGGGCATAATATCTGTGTACGTGTATACATAGATGGATACCTCTCGGTCTGTCTCTTTTGGGTCTCTCTCTGTCTCTCCCTCTTATGTATGTATGTATGTATGTATGTCTGTATGTATGTATGTATGTATGTATGTATGTATGTATGTATGTATGCATGTATATATATATGCATGCAGGCATGTATGTATGTATATGTGTATGTATGTCTGCATGTATGCATGCATCTATGCATGTATGTATGCATGCATGTATATATATATGCATGTATGTATGTATGCACGTATGTATACATGTATGTATGTGGGTGTATGTATGTATGCATGCATGCATGCATGTATGTATGTATGTATGCATACGTGCATGCATGCATGCATGCATGTGTGTATGTATGTATGTATGTATGTATGTATGTATGTATGTATGTATGTATGTATGTATGTATGTATGTATGTATGTATGTGTGCTGGTATGTATGCATGCATGTATGTATGTATGTTTATTTGTATGTATGTATGTATGTATGTATGTATGTATGTATGTATGTATGTATGTATGTATGTATGTATGTATGTATGTATGTATGTATGTATGTATTTATGTATGCATGTATGTATGTATGTATGTATGTATGTATGTATGTATGTATGTATGTATGTATGTATGCATGTATATTTTCATGTATGTATGTATGCATGCATGCATGCATGCATGCATGTATGTGTGTATGTATGTATGCATGTATATATTTGTACATATTTGTATATAGTGAGAGGTAGAGAGATATGAGGAGGGGGCTCGGCGCCAGGCTTGTGTCCTCTCGTCCTCCTCCTCCTGCTCTTCCTCCCTCAGGTCCTTCTGTCTTTGTCATGCTCGGCCACCTCCTCCTCCTTCTGCACCTCCCCCAGATCGAGGCTCTCGTGCGTCTCCCCTGGACCTCCGGGCCCCTTGCAGCAGGTCGCGGAGACGCCTCCAGGGGCCCAGCTGGCTCCGCCCAGGCTTCGTCCTCGAGACGTGGTCGCCTCCGGCGCCGGCGGGCGCCGTGACATCCAGCTGCGCGGAAATCTCGCCGAGCGCGTTCCACTACTCGCAAAGTGCCTACTCGCAACAGTCCGAAGAAACCCACGTTCGCCTCGATGCAACGTATCGTAGATCCCCCACGGCGTGTCCTGGCCATTTGCGAGCAGTGACTTGCCGAGTAGTGGAACGCGCTTGCCTAACATGGAAGAAGATGAAAGCGTCATAAGCATAAACAGTTGGCGCTCCGCGCTGATTTCTTGGATCCGCGCTGGGCCCCCCCCTCCAACAAATTCTAGACGCTGCCCTCGAAGTACACCATCCTGGCGCTGTAATTCGCCCGGAAGCTCTTCCAGGTGTGCGCCGTCTCTTGAGCGGCACCGAGGCTCGCCTCCTGTTTGCCCTCCCCTCTTGGTCTTTTCTCTTCCACGTTCGTCCTCTGTCTCTGTTCGCCCTCCTCCTCCTCCTCCTCCTCCTCCTCCTCCTCCTCCTCCTCCTCCTGTGCGCTAATTTAGCCCGATGCATCTGCGCTTCGTTCCTGTTCGCCGCCCGACCTGTCCCGCCGCGGTCGCGATCAAACAAATAACCCCGCCAGCCCATCCAGGAACGATGCCCGGAGGATTTGCCTCGATCAGGGAAGTGTGCAGCGCACAGAGGAGGGTCCTCCAGTGGAGGCTTTTTGAAGTGTCTTGGGGGCCTCTTGGCGGTCCCGGGCGCCTCTTAGAGCGTCTGGGGTGCCGCGCAGAGCTTCTTGGGGCCTTTTCGGGGGTATTAGGGAGCCTCTTGGAGGCCTCTTGGGCGCCTGTTGGGGCCTCCTGGACCTTGGGGCCCTCTTGAAGCGCTCTTGGGAGCCTTGGGAGCGCTCTTGGGGCCATCTTGGGCCATCTTGGAGCCATCTTAAGGCTTCGGATGGCCATCGGGAGCGAAAAGGCTCAAAGAAGGGCGTTCCCTTAACTAGCCTCGCTCCTCAGGAGCCCCAAGTCGCCTTTTTGAGCGTCCTTGGGGCGCTCTTGGAGCGTTCTCGGGCGCTCTCGAGGCCGTCTTGGGGCTCCTTGGAGCTATCTTGACGCTTCGAATGGCCATCGGGAGCGAAAAGGCGAGAAAACAACAACTAGTGGCCTCTTGGGGGCACCCTTGGGAGCTCTTCTGGCATCTTAGAGCCGTCTTGGAGCAGTCTTGTGGCGTATTGGAGCATCTTGGGAGCCATCTCGAGGCATCTTGCGTTATCTTGAGTCATCTTGGAGCTCATCTTGGGCTCTCTGGACGCCCTCTTGGGGCCCTCTTGAGCCATGTTGTAATCCCTGACCGCTCGCGGGGCGCCCCGTCCAGGTCCATGGAAGGGGGTCGGGGGATGGGTATGCCCCTTTCCGAAAAGGGAAGAAGGAAGGTGGAAGAGGAAACGCTCTAGACCACCAGCGCCCAGAGGGCTGGCGGGGTTATGTTTATGCCGTTTTTCTTCCTTTAATTTAGCTGCGCGAGAAGGGGTGGAGGTTTCGACAGGAGTGGTTGACTCGCTTCAGCTCGAACCCCAGAGGTCCTCCAGGATCGATCCTGGTGGTCTAGGCTTCCTAGATTGGGTCGGAGGATCGCGCCGCATCGCCAATGCATCGACGATGCATCGGCGATGCGGCTCGATGTGGGGCCCAGTTCTCTCCACGCGGACGTCGCTGATGCATTGCCGACGTCGCCGATGCATCGCCGGTGCATCGCCGACGCATCGCCGAAGCATCGGCGATGCGGCGCGATCCCCCGACCCCATCAGCTGACGATTTTTGATTTTTTGATTGTTTATGATATGTTTTGATTATTTTCTTTTTTCTTGGGCAATCCGCCTGTAGGAGGACATGCCCGACTTTACATTACGCCCTCCTTTCGTCCATCCTCAGCTGCGACAGGTTGTCAAACCACCGGGAGATTGATTGATCGAACGCACAGTGGGGACCCATGTGA